ATTACTAACTGTGTGACCCTGGGTAAATCACTTACCGCATTGCCTAGCCAAAAAAAAAAAAAAACAACAAAAAATTAACAACAACAACAAAAACAGATGTAATGGATAATTATATTTTTTCTTCCCTATTTCCAATTAATGGACAGAATTGTTTGAGACATAGCCAGTTCCACTGAGTATAGTATTATGGCTATTACAGAGCCAATATGGCAGAGTGAAGTCAGATTTTTTTTTTTCGCCAAGCTTTCCCTACACCATTCAAAAGCAATTTAAAAAAAAAGTTTGTCTAACCTAATTCTTAGTAGGAAAGCCAACAAAATGTCACAATGGGTCATTTTTGAAGCCTAGGGCAGCTTAAGATGATATAAAAGAGAGGTCTCTGAATGTTGATGTAAGGGCTAGCTAGTAGTGTTCTGCAGCAGAAGTAGCATTGTAGAGCAGCATCAGTGGGAGCAGTTAAGTGCTCAAGGTCAGTAAAAGAATTGAACACCTGTTAAGAAAGAGACCCTGTGGGTATCCACGTAATAGCTCTGGGGGCAAGAGCAGCTAACATTTAGCAGATTTATCAAGCATCATCCAGTTTTACCTCACAATTCCAGGGCAGAGTGTAGTAGTTACAGTGATGAGGGAAAAGGGCCCCAGCCTGTATAAGTAGCAGACACAGTTCAGGAGGTAGTTATCATACTTCTCCCTGAAGCACAACACTTTGGAAGCACCAAAATCTTACAGGAAACCACTGAGATAAAAAAGTTCTCTTTCTTTTCTTTTTGGCCATAACTTTTCCCTTACTCATACTTCTGAGTACTTTTTTTTGTCATGCTCCCCTAATTTTCTTATGATATCATCCTTTAGGTCTAAATAATTTATGCATTTTGACCTTATCTTGGTATACAGTGCAAGATGGTCTTCCAAACTGCTTTCTAATTTTCTCAGAAATTTTTGTCACATGATGAGTTCTTACCCCCAAAGCTTCAATCTTTGGGTTTATAAAACATGAGATAACTATGGTCAAATTTATGAAAATATGAACCATTTCCCAATTGATAAATGAATGGGCCATTTTCAAAAGAGAAATCAATAGAATCATTCCCAATGATAAATGAATGGGCCATCTTTCTAAGGTGTTATATTCTAAGTCCCAGGCCTTCAATCAATGAATCAATTAAAAGTGATTTATCAATCTTTTACTATATGCCAGGAATCATACTAAAGCTGGAAATACAATGACCAAGGCAAAACAATCTTTGACCTTAAGTCAATCAGTTAGTCAATGAGCATTTATTAGGTGTCTATTATGTGCCAGGTACTGTGTTAAGTGTTAGACATGCAAAGAAAGGCAAAATACAGTTCATGCTCTCATGGAGATCACATTCTTTTAAAAAAAAAAAAAATATTTATTCTTATTTTTTTAAAATTAACAAACACTTATTTTCTCTTCTTTCTTCCCCTCTCTGGAAAAAAAATGAAAGAAAAGCAAAATTCTTATAACAAATATGCAGTCAAGCAAAGATATTCCCACAATGGCCATGCCCTAAAATATGTCTCATACCACATCTTGAGTCCATCATCCTTATGTCAGGAGGTAGGCAGAATGCTTCTCTAACCAATATCTGGAATCATGGTTGGTCATTGCATTCATCTTAGTAAGGAGTTAACATTCTAATGGGGGAGACAACAGGTAAGTGACTGTGTACAAAAAAAGATACCTACAAGTTTGATGAAAGGTGACCTCACATGGAAAGTACTAACATTATATATGTATATTTACATATATATATACACACACATATATAACATACATATGTGCATATTGCTTATATATACATATATTTATAAATGTATATGTCTCCCTTGTTAAAATGTTAGCATATATAATATATGCATAACACATTATATGCGCACACACCTATGTGCACCCATGCAAAACATAAAGACATCTATGTGTGTCGGCACATGTATGTATTTGTATATATGCTCATGTGTGTATACATATGCATGTGTATACTTGTGTTTATACAATATAAATACAAATTTGATAACAAGGTAAACAGCATTATAGAGAACAGAAAAGACCTTCTGCAGAAGGCATAACTTAAAATAAGTCCTAAATGAAATCAGGGACTCTAAAATGAGGAGAGCATTCCAGGAATGGAGTATAGACACTGAAGAAATGGGAGAGGAAATGTTTTATGTAGGAGAAGTAAGTAGGTAGATACTGTTAGACATAGAGTACCTAAAGGAGAATATTGTGTAAGAAGACTAGAAAGGGCCAAGAAGAAGGGGCAAAGTGGTATATATTTAATCCTGTAGGTAATAATATTAATACTAATTAACATTTACATAGTGTGAGGCAAGGGATGAATTCATTTTCAGATATGTTGAATTTGAGATTCCTATGGGACATCAAATTCTAAGTGTCTAGCAGACATGTCCCATGATATGAGAATAGAACATGGGTGGGGAACCTGTGGCCTTGAGGCCACATATGCAGGTTCCCCAACCCTGCAAGGTTAGGAGGGAATAACAGATTGAATATACACATTTTGGTATCATCTGTATGGATATTATCATTGAATCCATCAGAGCCAATGAGATCATCATGTGAGAGAATGTCAGTGAAAAAGAGAAGAGGGCTCAAGACAGAACCTTGCCATACACCCACAGTTAGTGTTTATTCTCTTTCCCTCTTCTTTTCCACTACTTTGCTATCAGGAGTTTTTAAACTTTTGTGCAAATGTGTGGTATGGACCCTTTTTGTGGTCTGGTGAAGTCTATGCCCCCCTTCTTAGAACAGCAGTTTTAAATGCATAAAATAAAATACATCGGACTACAAAGGAAACCAAATTTTACAGTAATTACAGTATTTAACAACAACAACAACAACAACAACGATTCAGGGACCTCACATTAAGAATCTTTGTTTCATGTCATGTTATACTTTGAAGGACAAGTGCAAAGGAAAGTAACGTGAATTTCAGTTCTGAGAACTAACATGAACTAAGACATGGAGGAACCATATGAAAATCTATCTTAGAAACATCATCGTATGTTGTTAATATAGTTATAAATTTAAATTAATGTTGTAGAGCAACAAATTGTACTTAGTTCTCAATCAAGTAATGCCTTGGATAATTGAATATTAGTAAAAACCCCATTTAAACATGTGTAACTATTGAAACTCCTACCAAATTATTTGTATGTTTAAGGCTTTTTTTTTTACGGGTTCTTATCTTTTTGATGGGGCTAAGATCTGCAATTGAGTTATACAGGAAGGAGACTAAAAAATGCTATGATGGGTAGATATGAGTTTAATTACAGATAGAGTGTGTGTGGCGGAAAGAAGCAGGTAGGATGGAAAAAATGCTAGGAGTTTAGACATCAGGAAGCACTTTCCTAGTCTAATATACTGGGAGACAAAGTTAGGAGTTCATTGAGATGGTCTAAGTAATATAGGATCAGGAGCCCAGACCAACTGTCTTGCTCAATGAGAAGTTAAGGTACAGCCAAGGTTCAGAATAAAAAGAAAAGGACGTCAGAATCCAGAATGAAGCCTGATATAGCACCCTGGAGAGATTTTAGTTCTACTTTGAAGGATAAGAGGCAAGGAAAGTGGATGTGACTTTCAGATCTGAGGATCAACATGAGCTAAGCCATGAAAGTAGGATGTGACCACATACTTGGAAAATTATGTTTACATTTTAAAATTTTCCCTGTGGATTAATAAAGTTGAATTAATGTTTTAGAGTAACAAGATTGCAATCAGTTCACAATTACAAATTAAATTTAGACCATTGAATATTATTCAGAACTACATTCAAAAACATGTAACTCTCAAGAAACCTCCTCGGTTATTTTGTATTTTTAAAATGTGTCTATTTTTAAAAATAGGTTATGTTCAGCCAGGTTCTACCAGTTTTACTCTATCAGACTTGACACCTTATACACAATACCATGTATCAGTAAACGCCTTTACTTATGGAAAAATACAACGGGAGGGACCTGCTGTGACCAGATCCTTTTGGACAGAAATAGGAAGTAAGTCATATATGTTTTCTTGCTTCATCAATGACATAATTAAAACTTTTGAATGTTCTATTTATAACAACACATGTAATCATGTCATATTTGAACAGGGTTTTGGCTAGTCTAATAAGTTCCATTTACATAGTATATTCCTCATAACCTCTCTATGACCTGGATAGTAATATCCTACCCTGAATATTAGAGAAGAGTAGCTCTTGTCTCAAGATTAACCAGTCCCTGAATGCTCTCCTCACTTCAGCCTCCACAAAGATCAGGTCTAGAAAACATTTGACTAATCTAGAAGAAAGTAACACCCAAGTGGTAGATGAATCTTCCCAGGTACATAGGCTCATGAGCTATGTCTTGCTTAAAGCTTCATTTAAAGTGAAATATGATGTAGATTTAAAAATTCTGGGTTCCAGGTCTACAACTGTCCTGTTCTTTGCATGCTTAGAGATACTGTTTTTTTTTCCCTGTTAAAGAACACAGTCAAGTCTTTAGTAAAAAAAAATAATAATATCAAACATCTGGAAAAAAGATTTGTTAAGGTTTGCAGAGGCTCTGTAACTGCTTCTATTTCTTGGTAAATCAACGTTCTTTAACTTCTATAATCTAAGAGTATCACCGTTTCATTATGTGGGAATATAGAGGAAATAAAGAGAAGTTAATACAATTAGGTTAGTAAAATGCATTCATTGTATTCAAAATTGTTCAGAAAAAATTAGCAATAATTTCTATTTTTGAATATAGTAATTAAAAAAATCTTATTCCATTTGTATGTTACTAGGAGCTTACTAAATGAAGTTTTAAAGTAAAATATTTTTGAAGCCAAAGCATTTTTCATTTTAATAATGAACTTTTGAACTTACTAGCTGTGTGACCTGGGCAAGTCACTTAACCCCAATTGCCTCACCAAAAAGCAAAAAAAAAAATACGATTTTGAGTTAGGACTCTGGAAGGAAGAGGAATTCTAAAGTAAAATAAATTTTGTTTGCTTTGTTGCAGTGTCCCCCATAAATCGTCACCCCTTTTGTTCTATTATCCATAAAATATTCTTGGATAAATGACAAGATTCAAATTTTATTTTTTAAAATTAATATCTAAGTAAAATATGCCATCATATTAAAATACTATTTGAGTTGTTTTTTATGTGTCCCCAAAAGATCATTTGTTCAAACTGGAAAAAAATAACCATTTTTTTCCTTAAGAGATACCATATAATTGTGGATAGAATATAAAATTTGGAGTTTGGAAGACCTGTATTTTCTGCCTTTGATACCTAATAACTGTGTATTTGTTGAGAAGTAAGCCTCAATTTCCTCATCTGCAAAATGGAGAAAATAATTATTATAGTATCTATTTCACAAGGTTTTTTATGCAGTTCAAATATGTCAGTGTTTTGCAAAAGCAATTTTCAAAAACTATATAAATGTTAATTATCATTTTTATTATTGGTGTAGACAAATACATATGAATATTACATACATGTAACTTGCTGTACCATGATATTGAAGTGTTTCACAATAGAAAATAACCAAACTTATCAATTTGTCCTTTTCCCCATTACAGTATGATGATGGTAATAAAAATAATAATCCTAATGACAGTAACAACATGTATTTATATGGAGCCTCTTATGTGCTAGGCACTCTGTTAAGTGCTTTTGACAAATATTATCTCATCTGATCTTCACAACAATCCTGTTAGGTGATATTATTATCTCCATTTTACAATTGAGAAAACTGAGGCAAATAGAAGTTAAGTGACTTGCGAGGGTCACACAGGTAGTAAGTATGCACCACCAACTGCCTTTAATATATAATTGAAATATAGTGTTTTGTATAATGCTTTAATTTTTGCAGAGGGGGTCATTTATATTAGCTCACTTGAACCTCATAATGCTGTGAAGTAGACACTAGGGATTTTATTATATACCTTCTACCCAAAAGGAGACTGAGGCTAGAAATAGTTAAATGATTTGTCCTTGATCCCATGGTTTTTAAGTATTAGAGGCAATGTTTGAACTTAAGTCTTTCAGTCTCCAAGTCTAACACTTTTCCCTTTTCCAAGTAACTAAACTTTATCCCTTTATTCACTGTCATTTAATTTTTGTACCATTTTGACCAAAATCTCTCTAAGTTCCTTTAAGAAAACTCTTCTCTACATTCTTTAACAGAAAATATTAAAAATCCATGTAACTTTTTTCTTGATGACTCAGAGCAGAACATCATATTTTGTGACAGTGAATTGGACAGCGATTTGCCTCTACCTTCAGTGGCCCCAGTCTTCTGTGTTTTCTTATTTCATCTGTCTGAGATCACTTCTCAGTGTTATCCCGTACTGTGCTCTACTATAGATAATCTATTGCCACATTACACAGACAATAGGTTTTGCAACTACTATTAGTCACTCTCTCCTGGAATTAAAAATAGATTCTTAATGGTTGAGGGTGCTAGAAATCTATATTGCTAAATTAATCAGCATTATTATAAATAAGCTAAGCCAGACAGCTCACAATTTCAATTTTTTCTCAAGTAGTATACTAAAATTTCATGTCTTTCATTTTTAGTTTTCTTGGTGTGATATCAAATAATCTCAATAGCATTTTAAGGGTGAAACTGGAAAAAGGACAACAGAGACCATTGTTAAGATTTATATGACAAACTTTTCCCACTATCATAAATGGTATCTGAGCCATTACATTGAAACTCTAATATCATAGTCCCCAGTTTACTAAATGTAAATATAGGCATGACACTAAAGAAAATGGAGAGGGTTCCTGTACTATACCAGGTGTATGGAGAGGAAGTCTGTGAAAGGGTGACACAATTTTGAATATTTAGAGATTGATTCTCAAAACATATGAAGGATGTAAAGTTGCAAAATGGTTGGTAAAAAAGTCACTGACATAATTATCATCAAAACAAAAGACTGTCTGGAAAACAGTTACTATTGATCTAGCTACTTACTTTCTTATTTGTTAAAAAAAATCTAAGTATTTTATCAAATAAAAAGAACCTCCCTGATAAAATCATGAGAAGATACCAGGAAGGCTTTCATAAATAATATTCTATGGCAGATCACATAATTATAGGCATTCAATTATAATAATAGCTGTTAACAAACAATAATATAATACATCATTTTTAGGTTTCCAGAATGTTTTATATATATTATCTCATTTGATCCTGAGAACAAATCTAGGAGGCAGGCATTATAACTATTATTACTGTAATTTCACTAAAAAAACCAAACAACAATACCCCCCCCAAAAAAAAATAGCTGAGACTGAGAGAAATTAAATAACTTACTCATGGTAATTCAAATTGTGGGGTTTAAGTCCAAAGGTCTCTCTGTTCTACCAAGCTTTCTCAATTTTTTTAAAAAGCTCATAGAATTTAAAAGCCCAGTATGTCAGTTTGTAATTATTTTAAAATATTTGATTCTGTAGAACAAAAATGGCTTTTATAAAAGCTTTCCTCTGAAAGTGTGTTTCATATGAGTGTAGCAATATATGTATGCAAGAGTTGATATACATACTTATGTACACATACACACATGACTATCTAGTACATACATGTTTATATTTAGGTTAAAACCTGTACCAGTACATTGCGGAGAATACTTATAAGATGACCAGATCCATACTTTCTGTGTTCATTCATAACCAGGACTAAATCTTACACTATGTAGCCATTAATAGATTCAAAATCTTGTATATAAGTTAAAAGATTGTTTTAAAAGTAACTACTTTGAAAGATTTATTATACTTGACTTCTGAATGATGAAAACTGAAAAGGTGTTATTCTTTCTTCAAATAGAACCAGACATGGTTAGAGACATGGTTGTAAAGGTTACAAGTGACAATAGTGTAACAGTTGAATGCAAGGAGCCAGAAAATAAACATGGTCCCAATTTGACCTACTATTTGAATATGACATCTTTGTATGACAGTGTATGGCTGAACAACAAAACTTGCATGTTTGCACTGCATAATCTTCATTACATGACCAGTCATACATTTGAGGTAAGATACATTTCTAACCCTTAGAATCTGATTAAGTCTTTGTGTAATCGTGCTAAATATTTGCATACTTGTTGATTTGTTGATCCAAATTTCAAATTGATCTAAGTCTCATATTCAAAGCATGGCATGCCTTTATATGCATTTTATTTTAATTTCAAAATATTTAGCTTCTCAGTTTTTGAAGACTGCTTGCCATGTTTTAAAAAGTCAGAGATTGTCATATGTACTATATTAACTATCCCAGGAGTTCAGCTGAGAAGGGTTTGATATTAAACGGATATGTTTACTCTGAGTAAATCAATCTATCTCTTTCTGCTCCATGGCCACAGATTATACCTTCAAATTTGGCTAGGCATTTTATTGAAGAATGTTATTTTTCACAAGGGTGGCACAACGAGAGAAGATGTACAGCTCAGTTGCAGGCTCATCACCATTACTGAGGGTAAACAAGCAACCTAAAACTTAAACTAAAAGCGCATAACTTACTTATTATGAATTAGCAGCATACACTTGTTTTTTGAAGTATTATTGTTTACTCTTCATTCCAGATGCCTTTTCCTTTCAGGTCCTCAACTATGTACATGCCATAAAACAAAATGGAGCTGGCAAATAGCCAATAATCTTCATGGTTGGCCTTGTTTTCCTGACTGAATAGTTTCCTATTCCTCAATAGCATAGATCACTGGGTCTCTTTCACCTTAGTACCACCCCTGCTCTTTTAAATGATCTTTGATTTCTGTTCAGATGAAGAGCTTTCAGGGTCCTAACCCAAAATCTAATAGTCTCCATCCTTTTGTGTGGGTGTGGATTTAGTCGTCTTAGCACCTTTCTGTGGTAGTGGGGTAGAAGATGGACAGAACTTAACTTTGTCAACTGGGTGTGGAGCCTCAAGGACAGATCCTAACTTATGCAAATGGATCATTTCAATGGGGGTGACTAGATCTCATGACTATGCCTGGAACTGAAGGAGCTCCTAGTCATGTTATTTAAAATGGAGATGCCTTTATTTATGTTTTTGGTCAACTGTCAATCTGTAATTTGACTTACCAGTTCATGTAGTTTATGAGCAGCTGACACTAGTTAAGAAGTCTTGCTGCTTGCTAAAACAGAAAATAGGCACCCAAGGTGAATAAGAGCCTAAGCTGAGGGACTGTTTGGAATTTTTAAGAAAGATTGCCATAAAAATTTTGTCTAGAACCACCATTCCTACAATCTGTTCATTCATTTGAATGTTTGCACACACATATATGTATGTATATACATTTACATACAGATGTATTAAAGCTAATGTTTATTTGAAATTTATTAGCAATATGATATAAAAGCACTGTAAGGACTCTTTTGCTCATGTGTCATTTAACTCATAAAGACTTAGCTCTAGTAGAAAGTTAAAGGCCGTCAAATCCAAACTCATTTTGCAGATGGAGAAAACTATGGCCCAGAGTGAATGGAGGAGGAGGGGAAGGTATAGAGGGGATGGTCGCTATCCCACAGTTTCAGACTTCCTGGATTATTTTCTTTAAGGGAAAAAATACTTCTTTGAAAAAAAATTAAAAAATACTGCTTTGAAAAAAAATTAAAAAATACTGTTTTGGTATAACATTTATTTTATGACATCAAGAGAATTAAATATTCTATTATTTTAAAAGTATGACTTAAATGAAAGTCACCTTTGTTTATTGCCTTGTGAGGTACACCTTTATGTTAATAAAATTAAAATTGTGTGTTTGTTGCATGATATCCAGCTCTACTCTTACAATGGGAAGTATTACGGAGCCCCAGCTACTGCAATTAAAGTAACAAACTGTAAGTCATAAACATATGTACATATAAAACTATTAAATGTAGTTAACTGGTACTATGGTTGATAATGTGTTGTTAAAAATGTATATTTTCACATTTTAAAGAGAAATATTCATGTTTTTAACCTCGCAAATTTTATTTTTGAAAATGGAACTTTCTTCACAATGTCATATCTCTATTGCGTATATGTAGTAGGGCATATAATAATGCCCATTATCATGCAATTGAAAGTGAAGGGATGTGTAATGGAAAGGAAAATATACTTCTGAGATTATTCACAGCATTAGGCTTTTCATGGTGGGGATTCTGGGCCAGCTTGTCTTGGACAAGATGGCCTTTGTCATCCCTTCTAATTGGGAGATTCTATGAAATAATAGGCAGAACAATATGATAAGTCTTTGTCCCTCTGGGTATCCCTCCAAGTGATATAGATTAAATCCTCTTTCAGATTTAATGGATAGTTTTCAAGATTGTTTTGGCCAAGAAAAGAAAAATCTATCCCTAACAGTAAACATGATGATATTTCCTCTTTAAACTTATCTAGGATAGCATAGTCCTGGGACAACAATCAGCTGAATGAAGGGCTGTCTGTTGTGGTTTCCCCATCTGTTAGGTAGGGGGTAGTAATAGCACCTACCTCCCAGGGTCATTATAAGGATCAAATGAGGTATTTGTGAAAAATTTTGGAAACTTTAAAGCATTTTACAAATGTCATTGTTATTATTATTATTATTATTATTATTATTATTATTATTACAAATAGTAATTGGAAGAATTATTTTTTAAAATGCATCTGAAGGGAATCTTTATACTCAAAATGAATATAAAGAAATAGTTAATCCTCATAGGATTAAAATACCAAGGCAAAAGACAATAGGATGCAACTTGTAGGTACAGCTAAAGATATGACAAGTCGAAGTTCTATGGCCTTTCTTAGTTCTCTTCCCAAAAACAGCAGGGTTGCTCATGTACATGAAATACCTGTTGAATTGAATTAAGAATTGAAGTTATTGGGATGATAGATTCCAGTGGGAAGAGGAAGAAAAGTATTGCATAACAGAGAGAGAGAACTAGCTTCAGACTGAGAACGACCTAGGTTTAAGTCCCTCTAATAACACATATTATGTGTCCCCAGGAAAATCACTTAGTCTCTCTGTGCCCTAGCCAATGCTCTATGACTATCAATGTGAGAGAAAGTGCTAACCAACATTGGTAGAGAGGGTTTCCTCATTCAGGAGTTCCCTAAACCAATGAAATCATATTCCCTATCTACATGTATTTAATTTATGTATATTTTGTAGTATGGTATTCAAATGCATCCCTGATAAAGGGACTATAGACATTTGGGGGCAAGAAGACTTGTTGGAGATGGGAGAAAATGTCTGCCCGATTCCTGAAGCTTCTGACATCACATTATTTAAAGGCATCTATTTCTTCTGTGCCTTAAGTCAGCCCCAGGTATATTCCTTCCTATCTGTTGGGATAATAACAAAGTTATATGTCTTTTCTAGCTGTATAATTCTAGGATTCTTCAAAAAAAAAAGAATAGATGTTAAGACAGGTGAGAGGCTTTGAGGCATTCTAAATACATACTATTTTTAGAAGTAGATTAAGATTATAATTCAGTTTGATTAGTAAAAACAATGCCAGTCATTATTTTACTGGATAGCATACTCCTTGAGGGCAGGGATTGTGCCATTTTTCTTTTCTATAAGCCTAGTATGGAGTACAATACCTTGCATTTAACAGCTACGTAATGAATATGTAGCTTAACTTGAATTAACATTACAAAAAATTTTATATACTCCTTTATTTGTACACTTGTGGGCATGGTTTATATAAAAAGACTATGGACTCAGGTGCTCATACTACTTTTGTCTTATTAGTGAATATTTTTAATTTAGTGATTTTTTTCAGGTGGCTTCAGTTGATACAACATAAAATATGAGGACTGTATAGGGAATGTTAGAATTCTTAAAATGTATTTTAAAGATATTTCACAGAAATATTTTATTAATTAAGCTTTCTAATTTCATTTATTATTTTTACTTTATAGATAATTCCCGTGCATTGATCATGTTTCTGATATTTTTGATTATTGTGACATCAATAGCCTTACTAGTTGTTCTTTATAAGATCTATGATCTGCACAAAAAAAGATCAAGGTAAGTCATTTCTCTTCAAATGTGAAAAACACAGTTAGGCTTGTTAATCAAAAATCATGACTCCACCAGACACAAGTTGCCAGCAAGCTATCGGCCAAGCAGCTTGGAATAGACATATTCCAGCAGACTTAAGCACATATCTTAATAGGTAATTATGTATAGATAATTATGGGAAAAATAATTTGAATTGACTAGAACCTTACTAATTGGAAGATCACAAGATAATAATGATACCTACCTAGTATTATGCTATAATCTGTATCTCTTATTTTTACAGTAGTCCAGATGAACAGATAGGACTTGTTCAAAGAGGTAAGTTCTTAAAATTTTTGCTACAAGAAAATAATTTTTCTAAGTATCTTAGTTAAATATCATCAGATTAACAATGTTGTATGCCAATACGAATGATATGCCTTTAATGTGGCCTTTGAGGTACAGTAGAAATTTATGATAATAATTTAATTTACCCTTTCACTCATTAACAAATTAGGTCTTGGAGGACAGGCAATATGTAAGTAGGCATGTGTGAGGGAGAAAGGTAGAGTATTCCATAAGTAGGCAATAGCAGAAAGAAAGGTCCCTAGGGGAAAACAGGAAAAAGAGAATTGTGCAGTTTGGCTAGATGCTGGATCATGCAATGGGGAGTCATGTGAAATAAGATTGAAAAGATTGGAAATAAAATTGGAAAAGAACGTTGGAGTCAGTCACTAAAGGGCTGGGAATGCCAGGAAAAAAAGATTTGCAATTTCTTTGAAATGTAACAGAAATTCACCCAAGATTTTTAAGCAGGGGAGTGACATCATCAGGCCTGCATAATAGGAAGTTTAGAGTGACATAAAACTGTTTCCTATTCAGGGACAAAATGACTTTTTCTTTTTAGATATAGATATAGATATAGATATAGATATAGATATAGATAAGTATAGATATAGATATAGATATAGATATAGATATAGATATAGATATAATATAGATATAGATATAGATATAGATATCCTTCTTTAGCTTCTCTTTTCCAGTGAGGAAAAGCACTCATTTTAGAGTAAGTGATAGATTTCAAAAACTAGGCACTAAAGTTAGAAAATAGAAAGGCATGGAAAAACTGGACAGTGATCTTCAGGACAACAAGAATGGACACAAGATCTTTGCAGTTAATTTCAGTGTTTTTATTTGTTAGTTGATCTGCTTCATTCCTTAATTAATGCCTTTAGTAAAATGCTGAAAGATCCTGCCTAGAAGTACATATATAAAAAGACTACATTTTTCAAAAACTTTTATTTAAAGATGATGAAAAGCAGATAATGAATGTGGAGCCAATCCCTGCAGAGATATTACTGGAAACATATAAGAGGAAGATTGCTGATGAGGGAAGACTTTTTCTGGCTGAATTTCAGGTATTTGTCTTTTAAAATGCAACCCAAAAAATCTCTATCAGATATTAGAATAATTCACTATTAAACATGTTAAATCACACTTGCCTTGATATTAGATACTATGTAATAAAATGTATTTGGTTGTTTTGGAGATTCCATGATGCGCAGTCAGTTAACAAGCAGTTATTTTGTGCCTACTATATGCCAGGCACTGAGCTAAGAAAGGAAGAAGACAGTCCTTGTTTTCAAGGATCTCCGTCTAATGGGAAAGACAAGATGCAAACAACTATGTACAAAAAGATAGATATAAGATAGACTGGAGATAATTTACAGATAGAAAGTACTAGCTGTGAGGGGTATTTAAATAACCAAATGATTTTTTCCCCTTAATTCTTTTTTTCACATTTATTTACTTTATTTTTAATTTATGGAATAAAACAAGCATTTTCATACCATAGTATAGCAAAGAAGATGATTGCATGTGAAACTGCAAATCTATTATGTACAGCTTGCTATTCATTTTAAATATATAATAAAGTTATGTAATTTTTAATTTTTTTTCTTTCCTACTCCCTTCCCCTACCCTACAGATGACTACCAATAGACACAAATATATATATATATATATATATATATATATATATATATATTTGTATATATGTAAATTCATTCAATATGTACTTCTATTTATCAGTTTTTTAAATGAAGCATGAAATTAAATTTTAAATTCATTTTATTTCCTAGCTTTTTCTCTTATAGCACTCACTCCCAAGGTGATTCCTTAAATGGAAACTTTAGAATCTTAAAACAGGTTATTTGTAAATCTTTCTATAGTCAGGTTTAATGGGAAAGCTTGCCATTATGCTACTGATTTAGGCAGGATGGCAATTGTCACTGATAGTTATTTGAATATGTTATGAGATGAAGGAACATCATGTCTTTCAGAGTATTCCAAGGATATTCAGCAAGTTTTCAAGTAAAGATGCACGCAAACCCTTTAACCAGAACAAAATCGTTACATTGACATCCTTCCCTGTAAGTACTTGTGGGTAGTAAAGTTATTGCTTATTCAGGACTTAGTATGCTTACTTAGCCTGAGAGGCAGTGTAGTGTACTCATTATGACTAGCTCTGGAGTCTGATGGACCTGGATTCAGGTCTTGCATCTGTTACATGTTGGCTGTGTGACCCTGGGCAAATCATTTAACCATTCAGCACCCCAGGAAACTTTCTAAGTTCTTTAGCTTCCAAAAGGTATAAAATGAGTTGCCTGTTCATTTTAGTGGATAAAGATTTGCACACTGACAAAATCATAAATATCAAGAAAACAAACAAAAAAATCTATGTACCCCACATGGTGATTTATTATTTTATGATTATTTTTCTTTTCTTTTTAATCATGATCAGATGATTATAATCGTGTTGAACTCTCTGAGATAAATGGAGATACTGGATCAGACTATATAAATGCAAGTTATGTGGATGTAAGTTAAAACAATATCCCAGCTGCTTACTGCTCTTTGCCATGTCAGAGAATTGTAATGAATATCTTCCCTTTTCCTTTTACTTATCATAAGGATACTTGCAGAGAACTAATTTAATATTGTTATGACAGTTCTAATTATATTCCAAAAAATGTCATGCATTTGAATTCCATTAATATAGAATTTGCAGTAAATTAGATACATTGTGTGGAAATTTATATTTATGTATTTATAAGATTGGGATTATGTAGAGTGATCATCTACATTATTAAATAATATAAAAATACTTGCCTATTGTTTTATTGAAAAGGCAACAAAACATAGATGCAGGCTCTGCCTTCAAGGATTTAAAGCTAAAAAAAAAGCTAAATCTGTGTAGGCACATTAGTAGGATATACAGAGAACCATATAGAAGTACAATAAGGTGTGTGTATTATATATGTATAAATATATATACAAATATATGTATATACACATACATATGAACATAATGCATAGGTCAGAAGTAAGTGAATTTTATTTGTGGAAGGTAATGTGAAATTCATAGTTGAGAAGATCAAGGAAAGTAGCTATAGGCATGTCATGCCTGCACTGGGTCGTCAGGTCGAAAGAAATGCTATCTCTTTTCTAATTTAGTAGGAAAGACTCCATGGAGGCAGACATTTATATACTGTGTGAATAGTATTTATGGGGAGACCACTTTTGTGGTTTGAGGGATGGGAAGAAAAAATTATTCTAGGCAGCATAAAAATCCAAACAAATAGCATAGACACTACTTTGGCATCAGCAGCAAAGGAAATGGATTTGGGCATCTGTGTGTTTTGGGGAGAAGGAAGCTTTGCTCAATAGTGATTATGTGCTGAACAAATATTTATCTAATTAACAACTAATTGAACACATGAAATCTGAATGATCCAGGCAATGACTGAATATCTATAAAAAATAAAATGGTTGGCTGAGATGAACTTTAAGGCTACTTGCAGTTCTAATTCTTCGGTTCTACTATGTAGAGTAAGGTGGTGGTGGTAAAGAGACAGAGAGCAGTGAGAATATGGTAGATCTTATGTAGGAAGAATTGTTATGGTTTGGAAGTGAAGGGCTGAGCTGTGTCATAGTTCACGCTTGGGTTTTTTTTGCTCAGAATGCTGAATTTGGTGAGAAGGAAGATATCAGTAATTTTGGTAAATTTGGTAAACTCCACATTCTGTGGAATGTGTAGGGAAATCAAATTAAAACAAGAATCCAGTATTTAACTATTTAAGAAGTTCAGAAATTCACACAATGGCATTAAACAATCTACTTCAAGACCTTGGTATTGAAAGGATGGGGCATTTGAGCTGGAGAATTCAGCTAGGTCAGGTATTCAGTTTGGAGGGATAGTTTTATGTGCCAGAGATAAGTAGAGATGATATCTTGGGTCACCTTTAAGCTCTGATTTCCATGATGGATGACGTAGAGCCAAAATACACCCTGGCTACAAATGTCATTTTCAAATGAAAATTAAGCTTTTTGGTTATTACTTCAAAAAAATTCCCTAATTTGAAAATATCCAAAAAATTCGTAATGTGTATTTGGAATGTTCAAAGTGACCTTCTATCTCTTCTATTGCAATTCCAAGGAAATATGTTCAGAATAGAATGCTGGACTTGTGTTTAAATTCTGCCTTTCGTATATACTACCGCAGACAAATTGCTTAATTATTCTGAGTCTCAGTTTCCTCATTTGAAAAATGAGGATTACAACCCTGTAGCATCTATATCCTACAGTTAAGTGGTTCAAATGAGATGTACAGAGCTTTGCAAACTTTAAGTTTACATAAAGTGTTCTAAAAATGTCAATTAATATTAATGTTATTGCTACTACTCCTGCTTGAAAAGCTAAATAATAGGATGTACTTGTGCATGTTTTGAACAGGGTTTCAAAGAGCCAAGGAAATATATTGCTGCACAAGGTAATCTCATCATCTTTCATTCCTTTTCTTTTCTAGTTTTACATACTGATATTTTTTGGAGGTCAGTCAACATGTGGGTATTAAGTGTCTATTATGTGCCAAGCACTGCGCTAAATTCTGGAGATACAGAAACAAAAATGGCACAGTCCTGCCCTCAAGGAGCTTATATTCTGATAGGGAGGTATAACATTAAAAGCCAAGCAGCAGAATTTTTGTCTAGGTATTCACTAAAAATGTGAGTGGAGCCACAGGGCAGTAGATTGTCATTTCCTTTCTAGTAGCAATGATGGTATTGATTTGGTTATTGTGACCAGAGCAATGATCAGGAGATAGAAAGCTGGTGGTCCTGGGGGAGAAATCACGCACAAGCAAGGCATGATGTTGGCACTGAGGAGGCTTTGATGTCCTCAGAGGTGACAGAGGGAAAGTCTGAGGTCAGCTAGGTAGGGCAAATTGAGGTGTTTTAACTCACTAACACCAATCAGGATGGCTCAGACCCAGACTAGAGCTACAGAATTTCCTTTAAAGCTTGGCTCATGCATCACTTTCTATATAAGCCCTTTTCCAATCTCCCAGCTACCCAGCTGTTAGCGCATCTACCTAAAATTAGCATGTACTTACATTTTTAGGGTAGCCAGGTGGTGCAGTGGATAGAATGCCAGGCCTGGAGTCAGGAAGAATCTTCTTCCTGACTTTAAATCTTCCTTCCTCATTTGTAAAATAAGTTAGAGAAAGAAATGGCAAATCACTCTAGCATTGTTGCCAAGAAAAACCCCAAATGGGGTCACAAAGAGTCAGATACAACTGAACAGCAATAACAACAATAGTTATGCTTTTAGGTTTTCAAGCAGTCTGCCACAGGGATAGAGAGCTGAGTTAGAAGCCAGGATGACTCTGGTTCAAGTTCTGCTTGTGTCATATACTGAGCAAATCACAATGTCTCAGTGCCCTTGGCACATTTTAAAGACTAAATTGCAGAGAAAATGCCAATCTGCTTTGTTAATGGGGGCTTCCTCACCTGCAAGTTCTTTATATCAATGAAATCACAGGGTCAGTCCCAATTTATATTCCCATTATTTTATATGTTCTTAGAAATGTAGATGATATCTGTCAGATCCTCAATGGTGTGTGAACTTCTAGAGGGCTGGGACTTTTTTGTTGTGGTTGCTCTATGCCCTCATATGGTGCAGTATCCAGTACATGATAGCACTGTTAATTTGGTTGATTAAGGGCCCTCCCTCCAGGGAATATAGGGGTTGTCTCTGGAGGCCCAGTCTGGACTGTTTCTGTTTCTAGAACAGAGAAGAGAAACAGCGGCAGGGCAGGAATCAAGATACTGTATAAGCCTTGGTGTCTTAATGGGTCACTAGGTGGTACAATGCTTTGAGTCCTGGGGATGGAGCCAAGAAGACCTGACCAAAAATCCTACCTCACACACTTACTGTCTGTGTGATCCTGGGCAAGTCGTTTAGCCTCTGTCTCAGATAAGGATCTGTAAAATGGGGATAATATATAACATAACATAAGATAATATAACATAACATAACATAACACAACATAACACAACATAACTAACACAACATAACATAATATCATAAGATAACATAACATAATACAATATAATACAATATAATATAATATAATATAGCATAGCATAGCATAACACAATACAACACAATATATACTATACTAAACTATACTATACTACACTATACTATACTATACTACCCTATACTATACCATAATATTGTATGGTATGGTATAACATAACATGGCATAACCTAACATAGCATAGCATAACATAACATAACATAGTATAGCACAGCATAACATAACATAACAAACATAACATAACATAGCATAGCATAGCATAGCATAACATAACATAAAATATAACATAACATAACATAATAACATACCTCCCAGGGTTGTTATGAGGATCAAATTATATACCACATGCAAAGTGCTTTGCAAACCTTAAAGCACTATACCAATTCTCACCATCATCAATCATCACTAGATGTGATGGGAAAGCCTTATCAGTCAATGTGTCTTTACCTACTAGGTCCCAGAGAAGAAACTGTTGATGATTTCTGGAGGATGATCTGGGAACAGAAAGTAACTATTATTGTCATGGTGACTCGCTGTGAAGAAGGAAACCGGGTGAGAGCTTCATAATGTTATGGGATCTAGGAGTGTATGAGAGGAGAGATCAGGTGGGGAAGGACACTAACCAAGATGAGGCAGCATGGTAGAGTAGGGAGCATACTGGCCCTAGAGGCAGGAGGACTCAATTTTGAATCCCACCTCTTAGGCTGACTAGCTCTGTAGCCCTGAGAAAACTACTGATACTCTGTACCTTGGTTTCATTTTATTTAAAATGAGGATAATAATATCTGTAATATCTACCTCCAGAGACACAATGTTACATAATTAATAGACAGCTGCCCTCAAAGCCAAGAAGAACTGGGTTCAAGTCCCATGTCTGACACATAGTGGCTGTATGCCACTGAGTAAAGTGGTTACTGTCTCAGCGCTCTAGGCAATTTTCCAAAAATTTAAGTTAGAGAGAAGGCACTGACATGCATTGGTAGAAAGAGTTTCCTCTTCTGGAAGGACATTTTGAAAGTTACAGCTAGGAGTGGTGGCGTACTCCTGTGATTCCAGCTACCAAGGAGTCTGAGGCTGGTGAATCTCCTGAGCTAGGGGTTCTGAGCTCCCATGGGCTATGCCAGTTGGATGTCCACTCTAAGTGTAGCATTAATATGGTGAACCTCCAGGAGCAGGATGCCACCTGGTTGCCTAAAGAGGAATGAAACAGCCCAGATCACAAATGTTGTAGAAGGTCCAAATTCCAATGTTGGTAAGAGTAAGATAAAACCCATGAGCAGTCCCAGCCTAGGCAAGATAGAGAAACCTACACTTAAAACCAAACTAACTAAAAAAAAAGAATAAATGGATGAATGAACACATGAATCAATATATAAAAGAGTTAATGAATGGATGAATATATAGCTGAATTAGTGAATGAATGAATAGATAGTTGGATGGATAGATGGATATATAAATGAATGAATACATGCATGGATGTGTATATAAATTAATAAATTAATTTTAAAGACCTTCAGTTTCAGAGGAGATCCATGTTGGAATAAGATGTTTCATGCACTAAGCACCAATCGTACAAATACAAAGGTCAAACAGTTCCTTCTCTCAAGGAACTTATTTTCCTTTGGAGGACCACCACCTATTTATATTAGTATAAACATAATACATACAAAATGAAAAAAAAAGTTAATTTGGGTAGGGAAGGCACTAGCATTTGGAATGATCCTGAAAGTCTTCATGTAAAAAGTAGCATTGAGTTGAGTCTTGAAGGAAACCAAGTATCCCAAGAGACAATAGTGAAATCACAGGTCTGGTTTATTATATAGACATGTATGTATGTGGTCATGACAAAGCCTTAAAATCAGGAAAAAAAGACCTGGATTTGAGTCCTGCCTCTGACATAATTGCTGAGTGATCATGAGCAAAATATTTAATCCATTTATGCCCCAGTAAACTCTCTCAGCTCTGAGTATAGATTTATCTTTATGAACCAGTAAAGAAAGTTCTCTTTCTATAAGTCCTTACAGCTCTGAAATTAGAGCTCTGGAACAAAACACAGATCTATGCATGGTTAATATATATTATCATTAAGAGCTAAACATACATTGAGTGTGTGTATATATAGTATGTATGTATGTAAAATTTAGGTGCTTCCTTCTTTATATATGACATTTTAGCATGTATAACTAATTTTTTTCCTATTTAAATTTTTCTATTTATTAGAACTCCATTCTATTACTGTTTTCCTTGCAATAGTAGGATATGTTGAGTAAGTTACCATCTCACCTACTTCATTATGATGTTTTACAAAATTAATTATGCAACCAAGGACAGACTTAAGCAGAGTAGATAGTAACCTAGGAGGTATGACTTCAGGAATGAGGAAGGCTCCTTATCCTTAAATGTATTCTTTATCAATGCCCGAAATTATTCCATCAGTGAATCATCCATTTATGCTAATAACTACTTCTCTCTCTCCCTATGATCCCATTTTAATACAAACACTCATGTTGAAAAGCATCCCTGTATTGAATAATAAGAGATAGAAAGATATGGGAGCAACAATAATGAATAAGCCTTGAAGAGGGAAATGAGGTTTCATTGATTTGTTTAATCAAACTGTCATAGAATAACCCTCAAAGACCACAGGTTAATATGTACAAATGCTTTTGAAAAGTTATGTAAATACTTAACTGGATTAAAATTATATGGGAATAAAAATTCAATTCAATTCAATTCAACATACTTTTACTAAACACCTGTTTTGTGTGTTATTGAATAGAGCCTGCCCTCAAGGAGCATATGTTCTTTTTTTTTTTTGGAGGGGGGAAGAGAATAGGGAATGCAGTAAGTATAAAAACACATAAATTCAAGATGAATCAAAGTAATTTCAAGATTTAGGAAGAACTTACAATTGTTGTGGTGTGAGAGTAGGAGAAATCTCCTATTGGAGCTGGCACAGAAATCTCTGAAGGACAAGATAAAGGTGAGGAGGAAGTGCTTTTCAGAGATAGAGGAAGGCCTGTTCAAAGAAACAAGGATGAGAAGAAGGACATTATATATGAGAAGGAGGTTGCAGGCCAAGATTGTGTACAGGAGAGTAATATGAAATGGGGCTATGTAGTGTAGAAAAAAATCAAGCGGGATTTTTTAAATCAGAGGACCTGAGTTCAAATTCCTACTTCTGCTATTTCATAGCTATGTAACTCAGGACAAGTCACCTCCCTGAACTTGTTGGCTCATCTACAAAAGAAGCAATTAAGATAAATGATCTTTAAGTTCCCATACAGAGCTAAATCTATGATTCTACCTAAGAGAGGAGAGGTAAGTGGGAATCATATTATGGAGAGTTTTAGAAGTCAGGCTGAGGATTTTGTTTTTTATTCTAGAATCAATAGGAAGTTATTGAAGACATATGAGTGGTGGGTAAGTGGCTTGTAACATAATAAGATATGAATTTTAGGAATCTCAATTTAAAGCTTGGTTAACTGAAGAAGAAAGTTATTAAGAAAAAATGTATTTATTTGATGACTTTGATTTTTATAGAACAAGTGTGCAGAATACTGGCCAACAATGGAAGAGGGCACTCATATTTATGGAGATGTTATTGTAAAGATACATGAGCACAAAGTATGTCCAGATTACATTGTTCAGAAACTGAATGTTACAAATGTAAGTTAATTTCTGTTATGTAATATTTGTCAATCATTTTGGGGGAAAGTCTGCTACTGAGTATTAGTTGTGCTTAAGGAAAATATAACATTTGGGTTGGAGCTATATTTTCCCAGGTTTTGTAAACAATGGGTGGGCTGGGATACCTTGTTAGTGTAGTTTCACAAAATGGCAGAGTCATATTGAACCACTGATCAATGAAGTACCTGTCTATGTAATTTATGAATATTTATATAGCTAGGATGTTCAAAGGAGGAAGAAAAAGCCATCATTTATGACCTTAGGGATTTTCAATCTTTTGGGAGGAAAACAATTAATAATTTTGAAAGAGACCATGTAAAGAAATAAAGTAATAATTTATGTCTAACAAAAGTACTTCTCTCTCCTTCTCCAACATATGCTACCCAAGTGAACTCTAAGGCTCAGGTCACCTTCCTCTCCCCCTACCCAATTTCCTCAATAGCATTTTACTAAATTAAGTCTTTGCTGCATGCCTCTGTGATTCCTCCACCTCCCAATGAATTTAGGGCATTTTTATGCCAATTAATCTCAGTGCAAAATATTCTAGGTGACTTTTTAGGGAAGGGAGAGATAGATTTAGGATGGAAAAATAGTCAACATATATTAACTAAATGCTTACTATGTGCCAGAGCCACTGTGCAAAGCTCTGGGTGTACAAAGAAAAACACAAAAATAGACCCTGCTTTCAAGGAGAATACATCCTGTTGGAAGGCAAGATGTGAAGACAGAAAGCTAAATGCAGCAGCTGAAAATTTTGTAGAGAGTTTAATTTGTAGAAGTACTTTGTATTACCTGAAATTGCTTTCTACAACATGAAGAGAATCTTCCTCCCAAAAAGAAGCCCTTTGGTTTACTATGTCTAAGGCTTTCATTTCTTTATTTCATTGTGAATCAAAGCCAGGAGACCATAAAGAAATGCATGATTAGGACTTTTCTAAAGGCTTTTGTTGGCTAAATTTCATATTTGATGGCTCACAACTAAGTTACCCAATAAATAGTCATGGGCAAAAACTATTAGCATGCAATGGCATTGCATGTTTTAGTATTCTTATTATTAGATTTAGTACGTTTGAGCATGCATTGGGATGTTTTAGTAGACACCATCTTCTAACAAGCAATGACAATTTATTCTTTCTTTCTTTCTTTCTTTCTTTCTTTCTTTCTTTCTTTCTTTCTTTCTTTCTTTCTTTCTTTCTTTCTTTCTTTCTTTCTTTCTTTCTTTCTTTCTTTCTTTCTTCTTCTCCTCTTCCTCCTCCTCTTCATCTTCTTCCTCCTCCTCCTCTGTCTCTCTCTGTGTCTCTCTGTCTCTGTATCTTTATCTCTGTCTCTGCCTCTGTCTCTCTCTGTCTCTCTCCAATCCTGTGTCCTGCCAATCAAAAGGTATCTAAATTCACACCTGGGTATAAAATTGACACTTTTCCTGCTCCCACTAATAGTTATGCCAAATCAAGACAAAGCTGAGGAGTAATCAGAGACTGATTTGCCTCAGCTCTATATTATTGCATCTCAAGGGGTGCTTTCAAACATTCTCACTATTCAGCTTACCTCTTACAGAGTAAATAGTTGCATGTTCAGAGGAATCTGATTCTTATATGCTAAATAGCCCCATTCACTGGCCTACGAAGCAACAATATTTAGAGAAGTGATAAATATGAGGATATTTCATAATTTTTTACTTTTTCTTTGGCATGACAGTATGAAAATTCCTTAGGCTTTGTAGCTCCACTTAACAAGTAAATTTATGTTACTCTTGCATGTGTTTCATTACCCAATCACTATGTGGAAAACAGATTATGACAGAAAAATTAAAGGAATTTCTGTATCCTATTGCTAAATGCTTTATAGTTGTATGAAGATTTAAATATGTCTAACTCTATCTCCCTCTTGTCTCTTTGCCTATCAATAGTGATACTTATAGCTTTATCTATCTATCTATCTATCTATCTATCTATCTATCTATCTATCTATCTATCTACACATATATTTCTTTCCCCTCTCTATTATTTATATAGGTAAAGTTTTCTTTATGAAAAATTATCTCAATAAAAATACCTTGTCTTGATTAGAAAAGGGAGAAAACAACTGGAAGAGATGTGACACACATTCAGTTCACCAGCTGGCCTGACCATGGGGTCCCAGATGATCCTCACTTGCTCCTCAAGTTGCGTCGAAGAGTTAATGCCTTCAGCAACTTTTTCAGTGGTCCTATTGTTGTCCATTGCAGGTAAGTGACCCCAGGAATGGTCATCAGATGGCCACACAGAACTCAATATCTTAAAACACGGATATGGCTTTCTCCTTTAAAAATGGCCAAGTGAGGAAGAAAATCAATGAGAAAATTGTATTCTTTTCCCACTTTTTTCAGTGCTGGTGTTGGCCGTACGGGTACCTACATTGGAATTGATGCTATGCTGGAAGGACTAGAAGCTGAAAACCAAGTGGATGTTTATGGTTATGTTGTTAAGCTTCGGCGACAGAGATGTCTGATGGTTCAAGTGGAAGTATGTTTTCATTGTTTAATGATGATGCAAATATTTTTGCTAGGATTAATGTGAACTTAAGAGGGTCTCAAAAATAGTCTTCAAGGCTGAAAGAGGTTGAAAGTGTTTATCTTTCAGATTCTTTGGAAGTCACAGCACAAATCATGGTTTGCAGCAATCTGCTTGGATGCCATTCAATCAATCATTGATTCAAAACCATTTATTAAGCATCTGCTCTGTATGATATACTCAGCTTGTGGCTAGATGCCATCAAAATTTTGAGGAGGATGTTATTTTCTCTACACTTGAATCAGTTCCACTGTTGTCTTCAGCAAATCAGAATGGTACAACCCAAGAGATTGTGGACAGATTTGTCTGTAAATCACATTCCTGTAAACATATTCCAAAAACTTGGAGGAAGGATGAGTAGAGTATAAAATATAGACTGTACTAAATAGAATCTCTTTTTCTGAGCAGACATACTAGTAAATGAATGGCAGTCTCATATGTCTATGGTATGACTAATTTTATGTAGCATCAGATTTAGCATATTTATTTGTAACAGTATCAGCAGAACTATAAGGGGTTACTATTTTACTAATATTTCTGTAATGTTTAAACAATATGTGTCATATATGTATATATATGAACAAACACATAAACAAATATGTATTAACTACTTATATTGTCTTTGAAACATCAGGCACAGTACATCCTGATCCATCAGGCTTTGGTAGAGTATAATCAGTTTGGAGAAACTGAAGTGAGCATGCTAGAGTTACATTCCTATCTAAATAACATGAAAAAGAGGGATCCACCCAGTGAGCCTTCCCCACTGGAGGCAGAATTCCAGGTAAATATAATGATCATACTATATACCACCCTGACATCCAATAAAGGACTATGGGTCAAAATAGTCATGTCACATTTCAACTAGCTGGTCAAATGCCAATCTTAATCCCTATATTCCATATCTCACTTTAAGGAAGTTGCATATGTTTGCCTCTTATCAGAACTTTGTTGCTTCTCAGGAAATTTGAGCATCTCTGGCAGACAGACACAAGTTGAATAATGTATTGTGGTACCAATATTCACATACACACACACACACACACACAGAGTGCCGTTCTATGCTTCCTTTAAGTTTCAACTGAAATCTTACCTTCTATAGGAAGCTTTCTCCAAACCTTCTTAATTCTAAAGCTTTATCTCTGTTATTTCCTGTTTATTCTGTATATAGCTTGTTTTGTGTGTGTATACATACATACATATGTTTGCATGTTGTCTCTCCATTTAGATTGTATGCCCCTTGAGATCATTAACTGTCTTTTATCTCTTTTTCTGTCCCCAACATTTGTCACAATGCCTGGCACATAGTAGGCACTGAATAAATGTTATTTATGTATATATATGTATATATTCATATACATATATACATAGAGAGTTGCATATATGTCTATATGTGAATATATACAGACATGAGTATATGTATGCACACACACATAATATGTGTAGGAATGCCATAATAATACTTATAGCTAGCATTTATAGAGCTCTTTAAGTTTGACAAAGTGCTTTACATAAGTTTTCGCATGTGTTCCTCGCAAACCACCCGTGAAGGGGGTTCCATTATTATCCCCATTTTACAGTTGAGGAAATTGAAGCTAAGAGGTAGTGACTAGTCATTGGTCACATAGCTACAAAATAACTGAGGCAGGATTATAAATCAAGCCTTCTAGGCTCCAAGTCCTGCGCTCCCTTCTCTGTGCCACCTAACTAAATAAGAACAATGGTAACAACAATAATAGTTCACATTTATATAGCACTGCCCCAGTCCATAGCAGCAATTTGGAGCTTTAGAGGAGATTTTCAGAAAATCAGGCAGGCCAGTAATGTACAAAGAAATAGTAATTCATTATGATTCATCTGAACTCACACAAAAGAAGGTCCAAAGCCTCAGATAAGATCCCCAGGGGAAGGGCCAAGGAAAGAAAGGGTACATCTGAATCTCAGTGGCTGGAGTGGGAGCCATCCTGTCCCCAGGAGGGATCACCAGACTTTTAGTGAGGGTAGTGGTTTGCTGTCCTGGGCAGAAGGAGAGATGTGGGTCTACCCTTGAACTTGGCACACACAGGTTTTGCCAAGCTCTCCACTTTTCTTCCCGGTATCAGGTATCTTTGGATGTCTGTCTCCTTCACACAAAGGGCAGCTTGGGGAGGCAGTGAAAATCAAAGGTTTTATAGCCAGGTGGTAAATTCTCACTCAAGTGTGTCCTATTTATTTCCCACATATGATTATAGGGGTTTACTACAAAGCAAAAACACATATAGGGTATGGGAGTTTTCAGAAGATACAACCAATCAAGAAGTGTTTATTGAGTACCTACTAGGTACTGTACATTATGCTAATCGCTGAACATATAAATATCAAAATCAAACAATATATGCCCTCAAGGAGCTTATTATATAAGGAAAGAGGAAGGAACATTTCTAGAGGAAAGACAGACTATCATAGATTAGTACTGTTTGTCTCAGAGAGTTCCCCAAACTGGGAAAGTTATCCCAAGTACTTCAACATTTAAAAGTACTATCTTGATGCTAAACCATGAAATAAAATCCCGATATTTCTTATGAAATGGAGGATACAATATGACCTTGACCCTGGTCACTATCTCTTAAGCAGGAAAAGCAGAGTAAAACACTGTAAAAGTCCTCACTTCTTTCACTTCCCTCTCAAGAGAATGGCAGTATGATCAAAAATTTAACAGGGAATATTTTCGGAGGAAGACAGAAACACACACATATGTACACAATAATCTTGGAGGTGGTACAAAAAGATTCCATTAGATCTGCCCAATCTAAATTTTCCTAGATTAACTCCATATACTCATCACAACTTCACCACCACAACTTCCTCATCACAACTTTCCCCATCATGGTTTTGATGTATTGTGGGTTAGCATAAGAAATTGAATGGGAATTTTTTTGGGGTTTTGCTGAAGCCACAGATGACAACACGAAGGCCAGCATATGACACAGAAGAAAAGTTTAGAAACTAAGAAATGCATAAAATATAAGTAAAATATTATAAAATATCAACATATTTTATCTTTTAATGCCATAATAATTCAGACTTCCTCCCTGGTACAGAGGGAGGGCCAAAAATTTTTACAAGAATTTTCCAGATGATGGGGATACCATGTCCCTAATCTCCATGATATGGAAGGGATAACTGTATTGCATTTAGTAGATTTTCTAATAAATTTTGGGATCAATAGATATTCCCAAATGTATGTATTCTCTTTGTCTTTTTTTCAGAGACTTCCCTCATATAGGAACTGGAGGTCCCAGCACACTGGAAATCAAGAAGAAAATAAAAGCAAAAATAGAAATTCCAAGATTATTCCATGTGAGTATTTTCTTAATGTCTATCCTATCAAAACTACTATTACATATATACACTATTGATTTGATGCTGAGATTGTCTGGATTCGTTCTAGGAATAAAAGATTTTTTTAGAGTCAGCTCTTTGATAGCATCGCTTCACCTTGAGATAAATATGTTCCTTTATAGCAATTCATTTTGAAGTTATGAGTTTTTTTTTTTAAGTTGAAGCTAGTCTTAATGGACTAGCTGGATGTTAGCAAAGGTATAATCTCAGAATTACCATTCACTGAAGAAGGGAGCAGCTCCAAGAGCGTACAGATTTTTTTTCTTCCTTGTAATTCCCAGCACTTAGAACCTTCCTAGCTCATAGTAAGCCCCTAATCAGTGCTCGTTGACTAACAAGAAGAGGTGAATTGCAAGGCAGTTTAGAGCAAAAGGTCTAGCCCCACTTACCCAGTCTTCCTTCAATTGTTGAGTTCTTTGTAAAATACAGTTTCTTATAAAATACCGAGAAAATCTAGTCCTTGATCCATCCTAGCCCCCTCTTTGTTCCTCCATTTTGGGTAATGAGAAATCAGTGGAGGATTCTTTATATATATTTGATGTTGTTCAGTCATTTTTCACTAGCATCTGAGTTTTCACAACCTCATTTGAGGGTTTCTTGGCAAAGATACTGGAATGATTTTCCATTTCCTTCTCCAGCTCATTTTACACATGAGGAAACTGAAGCAAATAGGGTAAGTGACTTGCCCAGGGTCACACACTAGTAAGCGTCTGAGGCCAGATTTGAAATCACCAAGATGAGTCTTCATAACTTCAGGCCCAGGACTCTAACTAGTGCTCTAGGTGACTAGAAATAGGGTTATGAAAAATTAAGAAGAAAATACTTGACCAAAACAATACATATTAATTTGAGTTACATGGGAATAATGCTAATTAATAGTAAATATATATATATGTATATATATATATATATGCATACATATATATATGTATATACATATATTTACTATTTATTATCTGCTAAGCACTATGCTAAGTACTGAGGATAAAAATATGAAAGTGAGACACTTTCTGCCTTCAAAAAGTTTGCATTTTAACAAGGGAAAACATGTTATAGAGGAATGGCAGTCAGGTAGGGATATTTTTATTTGGGAAATCAAGGGGATGGAGAGTGGAGATATAGAAGAGTTGATTGATATGCCCTTTACAGGAGCAGTATTACTTTGTGCTTACAGAACTGGAAAAGGGGAGAAGGGGGAGGAGGCAAAGAAACAAAGGCATTGGCAGGGCTAGGACCAGATAAATCTAGTAGAAAATGGGGGGAAATCAATCATTTATTAATCTATATCATGGGAATATAGAAGAAATCTTTAATAACTTGTTATAAGTAAACACTAACATATGATCTGATAGCTAGAAAGGCTAGTTAAAGGGACATATTAGGAACATAAAATATAATTATTTAATTGTTTAGTTAGCCATATAATTGACAAAAAGTTTAGTTTCAAATTTGTAAAAATATTTTATTTAAGAATATTTATTTAAGAAAAATATTTTATTTAATATTTATATAAGGAGAAACTGTGGTATAGTGTATAGAGCATGGGACTTGATTCAAGAAAATGACCTAATATTTATTTAGATATTCAGATACTTAGTATCTGTGTGACCCTGGACAAGTCACTTAAACTCTCTGTGATTATGCTTCCTCATCTGTAAACTGTGGGGGGGGGCCTTGAACTCAATAATCTCCATTGTCCTTTTTAGCTATAAATTTGTAAAAAGAAAGAAGTAGAATGACCACTCAAACAAAGCCCAGAAGTGTGTTTTAAGGTTGAAAGACTCTGGAATTCCATTAGTCAGTTTCACAGAGAATAGTGTCTATTTTTTGGCATGATGTAAAATGTGATGTTCTGTCCCAATCTTAGTCAATTTTTAGGGTACATTCTTGTTATGTACGATTTTTTAATAATTAATGACCAACAAAATATGGCTTCCTCATGTCACAGTGCTATGGAAGTCAACATCTTAAATGTTTGCCATATATCTCTGTACTAATTATTTCCATATTTCAGATGCTTATTGGCAAAGAGGGCCTTGGGGCCCTGAGGACAACAATAACACATTTCCCTATTTTGTATTACACAGATGACTTTAACAGAGTGCTTCTGAAACATGAATTGGAGACTAGCAAAGAGAGTGAACATGATTCAGAAGAATCATCTGATGATGATAGTGACACTGATGAGCCCAGCAAATATATCAATGCTTCTTTCATAACTGTACGTATTTTAAGTACTTATTTAAATATTGACAATATATTTAAATATTTAATATTTAAAATAAATATTTTAAATATGCCACAATTCTAACACACACACATTTTCAAATGTATCAGCATGTTATCAGAATATTTGTTGAAGCTATTTAGGATGAAATAATGAAGTTAACCAACCTTGTGTGCTACATTAGGAAACAACATGTCACTTTGAAATTTTCTTGCTGTTCAGTCACATCCAACTGTTCATGGTCTCTTTTGGGATTTTCTTAGTAAAGATACTGGAATGGTTTGCCTTTTTTCTTTCTCCAAGTCATTTTTCTAGATGAGGAAACTGAGCCAAACAGGGTAAAGTGATTTGCCCAATGTCACACAACTAGTAAGTGCCTGAGATTGGATTTTAACTCATGAAGATGAGTCTTCCTGATTCCAAGTCCAGTGCTCTAGTCACTCCACCACCTAGTTGCTCAAATACTTAAAAATTTAGTTATTCTTTTTATTTTGCTATTAATTAAAGCCATAGTCTATGTAGTTATATGTTGTCCTCATTCTAAAAAAACCCCTCCCTTCCACCCCAGACTCTATTCAAACGGTTTCTTTCCTTACCTTGATTTTATATCAAAGGTTGTTCTTTTGCTTGAGGGAATGAAGCTCTACAGGTTTTCCTATCTAGCTCCAATCATATTAAGCACTGCCAGAGTGAAGGGAATCTATATGATTTTCAGAATCTTAACATAAATTATGAAGGGAAATATACTTCAATGAGAAGAAAAAGGTGCAAAAGCATGTGGCATAGTGGATAAAGCACTGTGCCTGTAGTCAGGAAGACCTGGATTCAAATCTGCTTCATACACTTCTCCGTGTGACCCTGGCCAAATCACCTAATCAACGTTTGCCTTAGTTTCCTCAACTATAAAATGGAGATAATAACAGCACCTGCCTCCCCAGGCTGTGAAAGGACCAAATGAAATATTTGTAAAGTGTTTAGTACAGTGCCTGGCACAGAGTACGTGCTGTATAAATGCTAGTTGTTATCACCATCATCATCATCATCATACTGTGATGGGGAAAGGACAAATTGATAGGATTTGGTGGGTTTTTTTTTAATTTTCAAACACTTCAAGACTATGGTAAATTATATAGTAGTGTGGTATTAAGGGCAGCTAAGTGCTGTATTAGATAGAGTGCTGGCCTGGAGTCAGGAAGATTCATCATCTTGAGTTCAAATCTGGCCTCGGACACTTACTAGCTGTGTGACCCTGGGCAAGTCACTTGACCCTGTTTGCCTCAGTTTCCTCATCTATAAAATGAGCTAGAGAAGGAATTGACAAATCACTCCAGTATCTTTGCCAAGAAATCCCCAAATTAGGTCACAAAGAGTCATACATGACTGAACATCAATAATAAGTGTAGTGTTTGGAAAATTTAGGTTCAGACCCTGCTTAGACACATACTGAGTGGTCAGGAGCAAGTCCCTTAACCTCTAGGTACCCCAGACAACTTCTTCAGGTTCTTAATTGCAGAAGAGTTCCTGATCTTTCCTCAGTGGAGGAATTATCCAAAACCAATGAAAGCACAGGTCCAGAACAAAAACAAAAAAGGCAAAAATCATCTGAAGAAATACTCGCACATGCACACACACACACACACACACACACACACACACACACACACAGAAGGAAATCAATTCTCATTAGAATGAGGAGAAAAGTAACACATTTTGTTTTGAAATTTTCAGGCAAATTATGTATATTACCACATCAATCACATTACCTTATATGGCACGTGAACATATAAAATAGGGATAAGGATCAGACCTGTGATTTCATTGGTGCAAGGAACTCCCCAGTGAGGAATTTCTTTCTTCCCATATAGATTAGGACCTTCTCTGTAATTAGTCTTAGTGAGTTGTCTAGAGCACTGAGAAATTTGTGATTTCCCCAAGGTCAGTCAGCCATTATGTGTCAGAGGTAAATCTTTAACCTGGACCTTCCTGGCTCCAAGGTCAGCTTTCTTATTATTCTATCATTATCTCTTTTCCTGTCCTATGTAGCAGAAATTGTAAATAAAAGTAGGTTTTAGGGATTCAAGTTTGAAATAACTTAGTTAAAATGTTTCCACCCAGTGGGCCTGAAACTTTTTGGTAGAAATATTAGTTTTTTATATTTAAAAAATGCCTTTGCTATAATAAAACAAATGTTTTAATTTAACTTTTATTTGTTTGTAAATGTCACAAATATTCCTGGTCTATGAGTTTTTGTTTCTTCAGTTTCTTTTGATATATCTTTTTCTTTGGGGCACCCTCCTCTTTGGTTGAGGAATTCTTTTTCTGTTAAGTATCATCTCAATATGACAAGGGAACTCACGCATAGATTGATTTGGCCAGAAGCCCTGTAAGTACACCTTTGTATTGTAGAAGTCTTGTTGTTGACCTAAATATGCTCAATGATGAGAGAATTTATATCCCAACCCTTACTTAAGTTCTGCATTACATTCTGAATTTTTTGAGCACATGCAACAAGAACTTAACAAGCTTTTTTTTTTTTGAGAGGGCATTAGCTTTGAGTCTGGCTCCACTACTTTGCCCAGGCATATCTGCCAACTCCACCTTTGTATCTACAGAAAAGAAAACACTGTTTTTTCAGTGTGACATATTTTGACTATAAGGCAGCTTTTCTGATACACATGCCCTTGATAGCTTGGGCATGGGCATTCTTGAAGTGGACTCAAATTTGAACCCCTTGATTTACATAATTTTGTGGGGCTCTTGGGCTCAAGGAAATATCTCATTATTTTAATTTATCACCTGAGGTGGTTCACAGGAAGAAACATCATGTTCTTCATAGACTGAAATGATTTCCCTTTAAGGAAGCAAGGAGGCTATACTAGAGATTTGGTTGGGCATGAACATTAGGATCTGAACTACTGGTGCAGCATCCCTGTCACATGAGGCATAAAGAGGCCAACCTATGAGGAATTGGTCCCCAGGAGATTTAGCAGAATTCCCACTGCCCTGATGAGTCTCTCTGACTCCAAATTGCTCCTCTGTTGAATGAGAAATCTGGAGGAGAATGTTATCTATTTTTAGTAATTATGTTCTTTTAAATCCACTATTATAAGTAAAATTATTTTTATTGCATTTTATGGTCCATCAGGGTTTCACTGAATTGTAGTCATGAGCCTGAATCACCAGACTGGCCTGAGCTAGATTTGGCCCAGAACATGGTTTAGTTATCTTTCCTTAAATCAGCATTTGCAGATCACTCATGGTATATTAAATAGGATCAGCTGGTGTCTTCATTAATTTCTATGGTTGAAAAATTCATCTTCATCCATACAAGCCATAAAGAAGAAAGTAATTTAACTCATCCAGGCTATTCTTCTGATGATATACAGTCCATTAATGGGTCCATCCTTAATGCCTTTCCAACCTGCTAGGACACTCCAGCCTTTAAACTCTTGGCAAAGTCATTAAAAACCCAAAGTCGCTTCTGTATATTTTGATCAAACTTTAGAGAATGAGTTCAATGGAGGTTTTGTTACTATTTATTATTGTTAGAAGTTGAGAGTTCCATCAAGGAAAAACCAACACAAACAACAAAAATAAAAAGCAGAGAAAGAATGTAATATACACTATTAGTAACATAAGGGAAAATGTGTGAGAAAGAATAGACAAGGAAATAATGGAGATTTGGTGGAAATGGGAAATTAGTTTTATGCTTTATGCTTCGAAGGGGATTACATTAAATGTAGTTATTAACCATATTTGGTTTTCATATTGATTATAAGTGTTGTTTTTAATAGGCCAATTTTAAAAGGTGAGAGTTATTACTGAGTTCAATCAGTTTTTGAGCATTGAATTCTGTAGCTCCCCAGTGGAGAAAAGAACTGAAATCATTCTGGGGGATTTTAGATCCAGCTACCTATACTGGA